GAATGGATTTCCTTTTTACCCTTTGGGAAATAAATTGATGCTCTCTTTTTCTCCGTCCTGTGTCCCTCAGACTTACAGGCTTGGATGATAGGACAAAAGACAGCCTTGGTGCCACTGTGTAAATGCACTGTAATGTATAGAGTGTAAATGTTTTCACAGGATTGCCCGTCATACGAGCAGGCAGACTAGATAAAGGGCTTATTATTCCGCCCATACATGGATTGCTGTCTCGTTTGTTTGTCGTTGTTATCTGTAGTTGACAGGGTTTTTCTGCTCCTAGAAATCCATGTTCTGTTTTTTACTTGACAGCAGCTTCAAACCATCTTTATCTCTTGTAGAATGAGATGGTCCTTTTGTTATTATTGACAACCAAAGACATGAGACAAGGTACTAACCTGCTTCTGACATTTGAAGATTTGAAATCAAATCTTGCAAATCCTTATCATTTAATTGCTTCTACATTAAAGACAGTGTAAATCAAGCGTGAGCAGTGGCGATTTTGGTATGAAAATGGTAGTGGGCCCGCAAAATATCCAGAAAATTTGATGATGAAATAAAAACATACAGAGGTTGGCTCGGTTAATCAAAAATTTCACTCAGTTAACCGTTAATCCGTTCACAAAGACAAAGGATTACCTTAATGTCAGTTAATCCGTTAATTCTGTTCATATTAAAAGGTTAACGCCCAAGTTAAAAAATGAATAAAAAATGTAATGGCTAGAATTTACATTTCAATGATTAACGGACGTGTGACCAGCCCTGACCATATATTACGTTCAACCATAATTGCACAACAAATCAATTGCATGCAAGTGAGAGAGGCGTCCCAGCACTGTTGATGACAAAGTTCTAACTGAATAATGTCATCAAAATAATGAAGACCTGACAACATGCCCCTTCCATATCGACGGCATTACCAAAGGAGAGCGATCTCCCTCAGGATCTAAACAACACTGTTATGAGTACAATTTTCAAAAACAATGCAAAACTCACGCCGTAAACGGCCCACAGCCAATGCATGACAGTCAATACATGAGGCGCCTAAACACTGTACTACAGTCAGGCAGCAACCACAGAAAGGCGACATCTCTCACACACCCACACACACTTATTGCCATTTCAAATTTAAACAGTATGCAAACTACATTATCAATTCCATACAATAATAAGTTCATTAAAAATCGCCTTCTGGGTGTCAAACCAGTGTCATGCTCAAACCATGGGACCAGTAGAGGTAGAATATAAAGAATATAGCTTTATTGTCATTGCTATAATAACAACGGAAAACAGTTAAGCAGCTCGTCGTCAGTGGCAACACATACAGACAGACAATAAAAATCATAATGTTAGACAAGGTACTCAGTACAGTCAATGCTTTATGACTCAGAACAAGTATAATAATAAATTAGAGTCAGCGATATTCTCTAGAAGAATGAGTCTAAGCAGTCCAAGTGTGTAAACTACTGTATGACCTTACTGTTTCATTCCAACAGTCCATGGATGAGCACACGTTTCATCATGAGTAGAGTACTATAACAGGCCTAACTTTGTAAAAACAACAAATAATGTCAACATTTACTGATATGACTCCCATATTAATATTACTTTTTGATAGGAACTTATGTCTTTCCTGGCGTATCATATAACACCATCAAAAGGAGTGTCAGCATACTGACACTCCCTTGGAAGCCGTAGTTTTAGCTTGGAGTTTCATGAAAGCAAACAGTAGCTCTTATTTGACCGTTAGCAACTCACTTATTAATCAGAGAACGCTCAAATTGTTGAAGTTCATACCTTAAGACACAGCATGATTAAATACTCTATCTCTCCTCCGTTTCCTATTCTATCGAACGTCCTAGCCAATAAAGACAAAAAGCCACAACATAAATCTTTAAAAAGAAGAAGAAAAACAATCCTGTTTTATCAATGTTTGAAGAAAATGTCTGAAACACCCAGATAGAAAGTCTTTTATCAGTGGTAAATCAGATAACTCCCGGCAAGGTATCTGCAAATGCACCAACAAACAACGAGGCAGATAAATAATAGAGACCTGCACATGCCTGTGGGTGGGTTAATCAATAATTACATTTACTGTCTCAATCCTGAGATCTATCAGCACTAAACCTGTACAGTAACTGATCAGCTCAAGATCAAACGTCATCTTCAAGTCCAACCAGGACATGAATCTTTTGTGGGTCTCATCCATCTTATTGGCTTCCTGTCACTGCCATAGGACATCTCTCTCTCTCTATCTGTCTCTCTCTCTCTCTCTCTCGCTCTCTAAAACAGCTTCAGCTCACTCACCGTGGAGACGTTCAGAAGGAAGGTCTGCTACTCTCACTCCACTCATCTCTCCCCTGAAACACAGCAACACAGGTAAGTCACTGAGTGATTCGTATTTGTATTTGATTGTACAACGATTCCTCTCCCATCTTTCATCATCTTCAAACATCCGATTGGACATTATTTGCATGCCATGAAGGTCACACTGCTCTGTGTAGTTAAAAGTTACGGTTTTCGGTTTGCATATGCACCATTGTAAGAACTAAGAACAGTGTGAGGGTACTCCGATTTGTATTTCTCTTTCATTTAAATTATTATTTTTTAAATCATGTCGATTAAATATGTACATTTTTACACATAGTTCCTAATTTCATCTGGACTATGTCAATGTGTGAGAGAAAAATATTAGGAAATATGAAAATGAAAGAATTTAAAAGGGATATGAATCTATGAATGCAAATGGGGACCAATCTGCCTCAAAGGAAAAGAACATGCACTTTGTTTTATATAACTCTATGACTTTTTTATGCACTGTGGCTTTTATATTCATACAATACAGTGACTTCTGGTTCCAACCCATACTGAATACTCATATTCAAAGAAAGTCACTGTGAGAAGTTTAAGCTATAAAATTAGTGTTGTAGGGTACTGGTAGCCTAGTGGTTACTGTGCAAAGGATACTGTCCTCCAAGCGGGCAGCCCTGGTTTGAATCCGACCTGCGTCTCCTTTCTCACATGTCATTCTCCACTCTCTCTCTTTCTCTCTCTCTCCCGATTTCTGACTATCCAGTGTTTCAATCTTTTTTCAATCAAACATTTCAATCCGCTGATCCAATTTTCTAATCCAGATTCAAAACAGTTTTTTTTCCGCTTGGTGTATTCTACATGTTAGTTTAATAGACCTCGCATACAAACTGTGTGTTGTTTTACATCATTCATTTCCTTTGTATTCATGTGAACACAAAGTAAACTTAGACTTTAATCTCACTGTGATCATTTAAATGTCAAATAGACAACAATGTAAGAATAATGTCCCATTCTGTTCATGAATATTATAATAACAAGTCTGTGATAAGCCTTCACATCAACTGATAGTATAAATTAGTTCCACATGGGAAAAAGTCCCATAGTCCCTTTCTGTACCTCTGCACTCCTTCACCACACGAGTTAGCAGAGTGTGTGTACGATTCAGCAGATAACTTTACAGCAGCATTATACCTCCAGAAGAGTGAGAACTGTTGATCATGCGGTTATAGGGTAAGGTGCAAAGAGTCTGAAAGGCCTTGATGAATTCATGTGCAAAATTAAAGAAGAACTATAATAAGATAAATCATAAGGAAAGTTCATTTTAACTATGTATTAAACATTAAGTAACGGCTTTTGACTCACATGGTGTTTCTGTTAAATTTGTCCATAACTTGTAGATTTATTTGAATTTGAGTAACCAATTGTCATGACATGTGTGCTGAATCAGAGGAAAAGCACAAGGACGTGAAATGTAAATTAATAGCACAATCTACCTGCATTAACACTAAAAATGTGGATATATCTTCAAAGTGATCTATATATGTCTTTGAAGTTTTAAACACAAATGGTGAGAATGTTTCTATAAATCCAAATTAAGAACATATCATCTGATCAAAAGAGTTTGAAGTCCGGCCTATAATGTCACTCTTAACCTATCCAGAGGTCGGAGGTCCGTCAGTGTGTGATTGTTGACTCTTGGTTTTCAAAAATGTGGACAGCAGGGGGACAAGTTCACTGGAAGTCTGTTTGTATGGATTCAGCGAGAAATTACTTCTTCTTTTTTTATATCTTCATAAACATTCTCTTAATGATTTATAGCCTTAATCATTTGTTTTAGGGTATGATTGAGGGTGTGGCTACCTGTGATTTACAAGTCACTGCTATGCCAACCTGTCAACTAAAGGATACAGAAGCAGCAATTCATATCCTCTCTGTAGTCCAAATATTAGCTATTCTGGCTCCCAAAAAGCTGTGATGTCCAAAACGCCAAATTTCTAGGCTTCAGAACAGCAGTCCAAAACCAAAGGAGTTATGCTACATCCACTTCTTATATGAAGTCAATGTATTTGATCAAAGGTTACACTAAGAGATACAGCATAACACTCACAAATGATGAAAGTGTAGACAGGTGAACACGTGCTTTGGAGGGATTTTGCACTTGAGATTTTTTTTAAATCTCATTCCAAATGTTATACGTTTTTACAACTTCACCATTCCTTATTGTGTTTATTCCAATTCATTCTCAACTTAGTATATGTGACAATAATGTTTAGTTAAATGCATCAAAATGCAGCGGCTCAGACAGGCTGAATAGACACATGAAGGCAATAAAGATAGCTCCATAATTGCACCAATGCAAGCAGAACTCTGTGACTTGACATTTTCCATTATGTACCTTTTAGCAGAGGATGCAGAATGTTTGCTTTTCATATCCAAACGCCTTCATAATAACAAACCCTCTGATACCCTCTTACTGTGTGAATGTGTTGGTGTAAGTAAAGTGTAGTAATGGTTTTCCACTTAGAAAATGTCACGACCTGTTTATAAAAGGTAGATTTGCTTTCCACACATGTCCATGGTTTGAGCACATTTAATTGCTCCATAGAAAGGTTTCAAGGTTTTGTCCAAACAGCTGATAATGTGTTTTATTGTATTTTGGATGATGTAGGCATTGAGTGATTGATCTTTGCTGCCATGGAGGGTAATCACAGTGGCTCAGCTGGAAGCACACAGCCATCTGGTTCAGGAGAGCGCACAGATGGACACATATACGAAGTCGCCGTGCAGAACAACTCCTCCAACCGCAGCTCCCAGTTTGCAGATGTGGCCTGCTGCAGACCTTCAAGCCGCTCATTATCCCCTGCTACGTGCTTGTCTTGGTGGTGGGTGTCTTTGGGAATTACCTGCTCCTGTATGTCATCTGCCGCACGCGTAAGATGCACAACGTGACCAACTTCTTCATAGGCAACTTGGCCTTCTCTGACATGCTCATGTGTGTGACCTGTGTGCCATTCTCTCTCGCCTACGCCTTCAACCCACGCGGTTGGGTGTTTGGCCGCTCCATGTGCTATGTAGTATTCCTGATTCAACCTGTGACAGTCTATGTTTCAGTCTTCACGTTAACTGCTATTGCTGTGGACAGGTGGGTGGATCTGTCTCAAATTTAACCTTCTCCTTAAAGTGTCTTCTAGTTTGTCCTTCTTCCTTTCTAGTTTCCATTGCAGCACATGTCTAATGATATGTAATATTGGTCTGAAGTCTCATGAGAAACAAATTGAGCCCTGAAGCAACCATCGTGTATAAATAAACTTCAAATGACATGAAGCAAATTCCCGTGATATCTAATATACTGTATTAAGAAAAACATCATTCTGAATATGAGTTGAGTGTAAATGTCAAGGCAAAAATTCATCATGTTTCATTCACGCTCGTAAAAAACAGAGGTGCACATCATATAATTAGTGAGTGCAGTCTTACTTTTGAGAGGAAATTTAACACCAAGGGGGTTAACTAATTATTCTTAATGAATGTATGTGACTTAACTATTATATATTCAATGCATGCTTTATTGAGAACACATACACCTGTGGCTTACACAAAAAGGATTTTTGTGAAAAAAAAAAAATTACCAATAGTATTCCTGCAATGCAGCTTAGCGGGTTCATATAATAGTAGGCAGCGAAAAGATTTAAATTTCTACAATTCGCTTTTATCCAAAGCGTCGTACATCAGAGAGTAAGTACAACACAGGGAAGGATCAAGAAAGGATGAAACCACGTCAGTAAGTGCAAATGAACAGCTTCAGACACACAGGTGCTGACATGCAATGACATCTTCTTCTTGAGAGTTCTAATCAGCATCAAAACCATCCTAAAATCGTCATTATCTCATAAAACCATCGTAATTACATCACAGTTGCCAAAGTTTCAATATTAGGACGGTTGAGCCTGAAATGGTACCAGCCCCAAATCCAATGATCTAAGTTGTAACGTATGGTTGTAACAGACAGAAGAAGCAGGTATGAGCTGAAAAAGCTCATCCCAAGGTGGAACCCTAACAGCCCCAGAATCTCCGCTGCTCACTGAATCAAAAAGTCAAACATCTAAATTCCTTCTGCAGTCCTGCACTCAATCCGTTGATTTCTCTTGTGTCTGAGGGCGAGGACAAGAACGTCAATCAAGGCTTTTGTAAACTCACCTTGGCTTTGCTTTCAAAGGGAATCACTTATCACAGCTCCACTGCCTTACATGTATAGCTTTGCAATTTTGGACCTATTTAGATCTCTCAGGTTGCAGTGTTTTCCTTTTCAAGTTGTTTTTGGTCTCAATATAAGAATAATGAAAAGTGCAATGGAAATGCAAATCAAATAGACTGCAGTGGGATTCTGTGCAACTGCTATTTCAGTGCTGATGAACCAATCAAATATTCATATTTTAAATAATCAACTAAGTTACAAGTGGTGCTCACTCAATAAAAATTAATGCGTTGATTTGATTGTGAGCATGAGTAAACCCTACCAAGTACATCTTACCCTTATTAAGGAGTATTGCTTTTTCCTTTTGCAGATATTATGCAACAGTGCATCCCCTGAAGAAGCGTACCACTGTGTCTACCTGTGTCTCCGTCCTCATCGGCATCTGGCTGCTGTCCTGCGGGCTCGTAGCTCCGGCCGTCACTCACACCTACCACGTGGAGTTTAAAGATGAAGGCTTCACCATCTGTGAGGAGTTCTGGTTGGGACAGGAGAAAGAAAGGCGTGTCTACGCATACAGCACCCTGCTGGTCACATACGTCCTGCCTTTGTCAGCTGTGTTTGTCTCTTATCTCTGTATTACTGTAAAATTAAAGAAGTGCGTTGCCCCGGGAAACAGGACACAAGACCAGGCGGGCATTCATCAAGCTCGGAAGAGGAAGATCTTTCGCCTCGTTGCACTCTTGGTGTCTGCGTTTGCAGTGTGTTGGCTCCCCATTCATGTATTCAACGTGCTGCGAGATATAGATATTAATCTCATCAACAAGCACTACTTTTTACTCATCCAGCTGCTGTGCCACCTGTGCGCCATGAGCTCGTCTTGTTGTAACCCTTTCCTCTATGCATGGCTACACGATCGCTTTGGGGCAGAGTTACGGAAATGTTTCAGTGCCGTCATCGCATCGGAGTGCCTACCAATCACTGTGCTGCCAGTGTGGTGCTGTGATGAGCCGATTATTGTTTTTAGTTTAAATTTATTATTCATATTGAGTACCTGCAGGAATCTTAGGGGAAAACATTTTGTTGTCAAAGATTGGAGTTTATTCTGTTGCAAAACAGGAAGCTTTCAAGGCAATCCATTAAGTATGTTTTGTTCCAAAATGATGGATTGGACGGAAGTGAATCTTGCAGAGAGGCCAATCTTTTGGAACCACCATATGATTCAATTTAATGTCCTCCCTGTTAACAGATAACTTTAGCTAACCAAGAAATCAATTAGTCATGTCATTTGGAAGTATCTTTCCTCTGTGGACCAGCAATACCTACTAATGGTAAAGTAATCTAATGATTAGATATCATTAACAAGTTCCTTGTTAAGAGGGGAAATCTGAAAGGAAATGGTTCATCTATTGGGGAACATTAGCACAACAATACAATATCATGCAGATCTCCTACTTAGGGTTTCATCAGTATAAAAGTTATCACTAGACGAAGGCCAGTGCTTCACAAGAAACTGGAAGTTATCCTCTGGGGACTTTGAAGATCAGCAGCAGATTTAATGAATATCAGGTCATTCTTTTCAAATGCTAGGTCATAGACCAGTGTTTTTTAAAGGGAATTTTCCAGTTCCACAATAATTGGTGTTTGAAGCTTGGTCATGGTGTCATTGAAATCTAAAGAGGTTTTTAAAGAAGGCCAATATGTATTTTGGATCATTCTCTTAAAACCATGAATATACCAAACTGGAAGGCATCAGACAAACAGTTGAGTAGACATCTTCCTCAAGAACCAAGAAATGGATGGAGAGATAAGAAAGGTTCAACAATGCTAATGGAGCAAGGAATACCAACCAGGTTAAAAAATTAAAGTTCATTACAAATTTTTAATGGTGAAAAGGATCACAGCTGATGCGTGATTTAACTTAACTTATTAAGTTAAATCTTAACTAACTTATTTAACTATATTTTCACACACATTTTTTTTGGTCTTTTACACAGAAATATGTTGTAAACTGTCAATGTTTACATCTGTAGCCGAACAAACTCTGTTTGATGTTTGGTCTGTGTAACAGCACTCGCTGCAGCTGTGCTCGGCACAGACGAGAAAAAAGTGTGTTTTAGTAGATCACAGCAGACTTTTTCATCTGATTAAAAAAATCTGATTTCTCATAAAACATTGATATTTTGTGTGAATAACGTTGATTTTCCTCATTGTTGGGGGAAAACAGAAACTGTTGCTGAAATGATGCAGCTTTTAATAGTACAGTCTGTTGTGCTTTGATTTTAAGAGAAGTCTCTAAATATGATCTGAAAAACAATTCCATCATTGACAAAAATCCTTGATCCGAGCCGTGAGATTTATGATCCTTTGCACCATTACAAATTTGACTTTAATATTTGATGAGTTATAGGAAACATGCTGCACTTTGGACTTGAATAAGATGATGAAACTGTTTAAAATGTTTGTTGAAAAAATAAATAGGATGAGCATGGGATTCAGAAGAGTTGATATCTAGAGGTTGAAGCTCTACATTTTAAAATGAATGGAATATAAAAACATTTAGACTTAAAACAGAAAGGATAGCTTAGAATTGTGCACGGATATACGATGAAGGAAGGACCATCAGTTCAAACTGTGTTTGGAAATGTTCACTGCAGACGTGGTTGGACACTGATGTCAGAGCTTATCCTTGAGTATTGCTCCTTGAAGCCTTTTCTTGATCTTGCTCCCCAGACTTTAATTTTCTTAAAGTTAGGAGCTGATGAATGTGCACCTTAACATTACTATTAATCAATTTCTGATGGTATTGGCTGTGAAAAAGCTACTGTTGTGGAATGCTTTGCTCTGTATTGCTTTTTGTGCTTTCTTTGGATTTTTTTTCAGATTTTAAAGAGAATATGATTTACATTGTGTGAAAAAGTAAAGTATCGTATTGACAATTGTAAAATAACCAAAGCAGCATCATAATCCAAAATGTATTCAGGGACTGATAACATGCTCGCTAGTATTTTCACTATGTGCAGTCCAGTTCCATTGTTACTTATCGTTGCACTTTGACACCTGTCTTGTATTCTGTGCTAACAGATTTATATTTGAAGTCAAAACATTTTAAGTGCTACAGATATGTATGTGCCTTTAGTTTTGCTCTTTCTGTCTATGACTTGGGTTTCGACAGGCAAAAAAACTGTATAAAAAGATAAGTATTATTTGTAGCCTGTACAAAACTATGTGAAAAAATTGTGAATAAAAACACGGACATTTTAAAGACCTCTCTACTTCAGATCGATCTAACTCCAGGACAGCAGGGCGTTGAATGAAATTATGTCCAGCTTGTTCAGAGTGCAGTGTCACAGCAGAATTTCATTTAACTAATTTAATAACAGGGAGGACGGAAGTGTTTTCTGCATATTAACTAGACCTATTTAGGACATTAAAACAATGCAAGAATTTATGGATCTCCTTGACTGCTACAGTCTGCCCAGCTTTCCCACAAGGACATCAAATTAATGAGATTGAATATTCAGACTACATCCTAATCTAACACAGGTCTGTTTCTGTTCTCTGGGATTTGGGTTTCAAAGGTGGCTGCAAAGCTTCAAAACCAATGTGTTATGTTGGTATTTTTCTTTGGGTCTGAATGCTGCACAGTCTACATAAATGATCCTCCATGTTTTGTGCATACAATACAGAAGCTGGATTTTGGGGTAACTTTCAATCATAATAAAGAGTCTTATATCTCTATGTTGCTCAGCACTTGCAAGGATGAAATAAAATATTCAACTTGACAAGTCTCAGGGCGCTGATATGAATCAAGTCCTGGATTAATGCTTTGTTCTCTAAAGAAATTCATGTCTATAACTTGTTGGTTTGCACTGTACCTGTGCAACTCTGTATTGCAGTATAGTAATCTTTCACACCTCATAATCAGATCCTTATGCTGGTGGGTTTAGTGCAAATAAAACTGAGCATTCTTCTTTATATGGTTTGTTAAAGCTTATTTTCCACTGCAGACTTTCAGATAGCAGAAAAGCTAAGCTGCTAAAGATTATATTAACAATGTCTCAGTTCTGTTCTTTGGCCCCAGTAAGACCCCCAAAACTTAAACTGGTTAGAATCGAGCCATCATAATTATTATCTATTTTTTACATTTGTGCTTTCCCAACTGTGGTTTATTTAAATGTATGCTGTGAAAAAGGTCAAAGTTGATTGAGACCTGCAAAACCAAAATATGATACTTGCCTCATTCAATTTTGGACAAACATTTTCATTTTGTGCACTTATGATATTATGTTTCTGTCCAAATATTTCAGAGTTACATTATATTCCTTTAAAGCTACAGCAAGAAACTTTTTTTCTTCACAATTTTGGTTAAAAAAAAAAAATCACTGCATTTCAAAACCAGTTTGAAATTGAAATTCTCCTTTAAAGAAATGCGTTTCTGATCTCTTTCTGTCAGCACACTAACATTCGTATTTAGTTTGAATAAACTCACCCGGTCTGTCCTTTAAGTCTGACGTAACCGGCTGAGTGGATCAGACAGTTTGCAGGGATGAAGGTTGGCTTTTATGATTAGTGTGTCATTTGGTGGGCGGGGCTTAGCGGCGTGATATGAGGTCACAAAGGGATAAGTGGAAGGATTTTGTCATTGAACTGTTCATGTTGCTTACCGCCAACAAATAAATTCAATTTAGATTCACATTTTTTTTTTACCACTTTAACATTTATTAATTTAAACGTAAACCAAAAGATATATTCTTGAACTGCATACGGGACATTTTAAAGGTTGTAGCATATCTTAAAGTGATCTCATGAAAATAAAGAATTTAATGCAAATAGAAGTCCTTCAAAAGAAACTTTAAGGGTCAAAAATATGTTTTTTCTTATATAACAAGAAACCAATTAAAGGAAAGCTCTGGATGTGAAACCAGTTATGATTTCTCACTCTCTGAGAGGATCTTTTGTGTCAGCGCAAACTCTCTGGCTTCCCGAGGAGAACGGATGTATGAGTCAATTTCACTGTCGGATATCTCCTCATCACCAGTGACGTCCTTGAGCCCAGGCTGCTCTACTCGTCTTTTCTTAGCATGAACCACACATGGCGGCGCAAACAGCACTCTCTTCCCCCAGTTTGGAGCTGGATCCTGGCTCTCCTGAGTGTCATCATGCTGCTCAGGTATTGTGCATAGCTCACCAGCTTCATCTCCTGTTTGATGGGCCTTTTCAGTATTCACTTCACGTTTCTCCACAGAGGACCCATCAAGGATTTTTGAGGGAGTGTCATCCTCATTTAGAGAGTCCTCACACCTGGTTTGACACTCTGCCAGTAGAGCGTCCTCGTGGGTCCTCATAGCCCTTCTTAGCAGTGCGTACCTGTTATTCAGAATATCCCCCACCTGCAAGATCACATTTTCCAGTGTCACCTCCACTCTGACCCACGGAATCTCCTTCCCCAGCTTACACAGCACCTCCTTCATCTCCGTTATTCTCTTCATAGCTGGCCTGAGCTTATTGACTTTGGCAAGCTGGCAGAATTTGTCCAGAGAGAATTTCAGCCGCTGCTTGTTGGGTTTCAATGACTGCCATGCTAAATAGATAGCCGCCATCATGATGGGGATGGGCTTCCTGCCAGTCACTATCCAGGTGTCTGCTGCCAGCTCCACCAAGGCAACGGCGCGTTTAGACAGAGCCCTGGAGTCCTCTGCAAACTCTTCAGGGACATCACTTGAGCTAATTTTGTACCTGTGAGAAAGACAAATGTTGAATTCATATTTAAAAATGGCTCATCAGAGGCTGGAATGTCTCATTTGAAGCACATCATTTGGATGATTTAGACTAGAGCACAGTTGGCTTTCGGTTCGGCCTGGTAGCTTTCCAGATCGAAAAAGTTTATTTTTAATTTGCTCCAATGAGATTAATTAACTCTTTAAACTCTGCTTTAGGTTCAACAAGTTCATTCAGACAGATTAGCATTCAAGTCTTTATTCCAAATATATCCACGTGTATTTAACTTGTAAATAATAGTTTTTTATACTCATCCAGCTGTACAATTAACAAAATATCCCCATCTAAAGGTCCTACAACAGACTTGTCAGATGTCTTATAGGGACATTTCAATATTACTGAACCATCCATCATACTATTAACACAATGAGTACTATTACAATCACAATCAAGCGGAATATAATTATGGTACAATTACATTTAATTTCATATGCCTTCTGACTTTCATTATAGTTTTGGACGGCCCTCTGTTGGCCAGGCAAACCGCCAACCCACAGGTGTTGCAGCGATGAATGTGGGAAAGCGATTGGGTTCCGATATTACTGCAGCATATGGATTTGTTTTCCAGATCGCCAGAAAATAATTTGTCATTATCGTAAGATATAAACCTTTATTTAAAAATCTATATTTTAAGAAAACTTATGCTACATTCAATTTCCAGGACTACTAGCATTGTTATCTTGAGATAATGAGCTGAAAAAGTCAGAATCATGTGGAAAAACCAGAAATGACTTTCTATCACAGGTAATAAATAAAGTAAATAAAACATATGGAATGGATTCATGTCCATTTAGGGCTTCCGTACACCAATACTACTGTCAATAATGCCATTACTTTTTTACATAGCAACCTGGCACCGGAATTTCCTTCAGGATTCATTAAGTTCTAAATATTTTATCTTACTCAGTGTAACAGACAAGGATGAAAATGGATGCTGATTGGTCACAATTAGCTCTTACGTACTTCGCCTCCTTTTCTAACATGCAAATACATTTTAGTTTTCCTCTTTTTCATACCGCTGATAGAGCCCATTCCTCTCATACAGAAACAGTCAGACCGCCGTGTTTCACTCACTCCTGACAGTGCGCTTCCATCACATCTGTGACGTTGACGATCGGAGCCGTAATGTGGAGAACTTTGACCATCTCTTGATAGACCACTCCCACCACCATGGGGTCGACATCCAGCAGGCAGCTGATGGTTCCCATGGTGATCGGCCAATTGAGCAATCTGCAGCTCACAAGCACGCAGCAGCCGGCGAGAACTTCCTTCTTCTGGAGGCTCACCTTAATGAAGCTCTCGTGCTGATAGGCCTGGTTGTAATACGTGTTTGAGAGATCCTCAATCTCACTGTGAACCCTGAGGATGCACACATGAGACGCTGAGACCTGAGCAAGGAATGCTGGGAGACCATGTTCATAATTATCTAGAGAAATACACCAATGGCATCATACGGATGATGCATGCTGCCCTACAAAGGCAAAAGGCAGTAGCTTCAATTTTTTCGTAAATGAGTTTTTGTCATTTTTGGGAACATTACAGACGTGCTTTATCATGTGGACAAATATCTTGAGTCAATTGTGTTGTTGTTTTTTTTGAGGAAAATAGTAGGTTGTATTTGCCTTAACTTTCAAAAGCCCTCGAGAAACCAAAGCAGAGTCCAGTAACTTCACTCATCAGGCTCTTTGCCTTTGAACTGCAGCTGAAAGAACGCTCAAACTGAGTTAAGGTCTTCTGCCTTTGTTTTACTGCTGATCAAAGTGAAGTTACTGTTTCACTGCAGTGGAGTTGAGGTGTTATGCCTTTGTTTTAATATCTGTCATCAAGCACTTAATTGTGCCACGATCACTAGATGTTATCATTATTTATCATACACTGATTTAATATAGTGATCAGCAACCAAGGGAGCTATCAAATGCAAGTTACTGCCTTTTGCCTCTGCATGACGCCTTATTATTGTACAGGCAATGCAACCGCAGAGTACCTTAACTTCCAAATAAGGGTCAAAGGTCATATTTGACCTCAAGATTTTTTATGTACATTAATAACCTGATTAAAAAGACAAAGAATTGCCACATTTCCAATACTCTGCCTGCAACTCATTTGGCTGGACAACAAAAAGACTTTAAAAGTCAAAACAACCATTCCAGAAATACCTTTGTTCCCTTGTCCATCAAAGCCCTCAACAGTACCTAAGATGTAATGTGTGTGTATACATGTGCATGCATGAGGTGGTGTGTGTGTGTGTGTGTGTGTGTGTGTGTGTGTGTGTGTGTGTGAAGATGTGTAGATGTACCTGCACTGTTATCACTTTTCACAACTATTACATATTTATGGTTTTAGTAATTCACTTGTATGGAATTTAATGATTATTTAACTGACATGTTTTACCGACGAATTAATGTATTCATGTATAATAATATATGTATTATTATTATTATTTAGGTCAATATATATATATATATCCATATATACTGTACATTCTATATATTTTATTATATAATTATACTAGTCTATACTATATAACATTTCATTATATTACACTATATTGTTCATATTGCACTATATTATATTGTATTATACTACATTATATTATATAACTGCACTCTGCACTACTGTGGTACAACACTGCCTCTCTTCTCTGCTGTTTACATTACTTGCTGCTATTTATTTATCATACCAAGTCACTTTAATCATCACTTGTCACTTTATCTTGTCATTCTCTGCAAATACTGTCTCAATTCTCAATTCCCCCCCAAGTTAACTTCATCATTCATTTTGTTCTTGTATATACCCCCTGTTTTTATTTTTATTTTTATTTATCTTATCTATTCTCTGTTTAATGTGTATTTTGAGCTTTCTTGTCTGTGCTGCTGTAACGCCCGAATTTCCCCTCTGGGGATCAATAAAGTTTTATCCTATCCTATTTTTTTTTTTTTCTTTTTTTGCTACTACATCAGAGCTCTGTGAAGTCCCAAAACAAATTTCCCAATGGGACAATAAAATTAATCTTAATCTTAATCTCAGTTCTACACTCTGGTGAGTTTAGGTCTTTAGGGCAGAATGGTTGTGAGTACATAAAGGTTCATTTCACCCAAATGACTAAAGTACCATTTTACCTCTCTTAAATCTAGTGACATTTATCCAAGACAGCTCATGTTTTTATTTGTCTTTTAAATGTAATTCACCCAAAACAAATACAACATCGGACAGGCTGAGAGTCTAGTCGCTGTTTACCTGAACCTCCCACACCTACAGGATCGTCGGCCAGGACTCCCTCGGACACCACCGAGCCGCAGTCCACACACACCAGCTGGGCTTGAGAGTACAGAGCATCGTCCACTATGTTTGAGGATCCGCAGCCCGGACAGCTCAGACCCGGACGAGACATTTCACAAAACACCCGAGTTACGACTTAAAATGATTAACTCTGCATCCGTGTTGGAAAAATTGTTACGATAATACAACTTTGAATAGTAAGCAGAATATGAACGACCAATGAACGTTACGTTTACCGGTCTAGTGTGGGCAATTGAAATGTGCTCGGGTAGACGCAACGTTTGGCGTGTGGGATGGTTCCGCTTGGTCAAAACTACACTGCACCGTCAAATAGGCAAAGATGATAATTGTTAAAAGCTATTATTTTACAGTCTATAAAAAAAAAAACAGTGGATGTTTCTCCGAGTTTCCTCAGTGATGTTAAAACTGAAACGTTTGCATTTAGCTAACAGTAGGCTATTAAAACTACTACTCCTAGACTGTATTTGCACAGCTTCTTACACAGCTGCAGTAGGACTACAATATTTGTGGAGACTGCTTATAAATCCGAGATAAACCCTTTTTCTTTTTGTAGATGGAAAATCAAATATCATCAATAATAACAAGCTATGCATTATGGGAGGGGGCAGAAGTGGAAAAACAGTTTTGTAGACCTACTATTTACAGTCTAGGTAGACTCCTACAAAAAAAAGTCTACTCAAAAAATCCAAACTAATGTTTTAGGAATTGATGAAAATACATGGACAAATGCTTTATTATTCTTTATTTCAGACACACGAAAACATTTGCTTTTATAACAGTTTTGTATACACCACTTCAGTAAAGAACAATAATTCATTAACCATGTTAGATATATATAAAGTGCCATTTAGGTGTTAGCAGAATCGTGTAAACTTTGACATTCAGTACAAAAGCATGAAACATAATCTATATAACTAGAGCAAAGTACAGTAAAATAAGGCCCTGTTCATATTGGATGAACGTCCAGGAGGCATGAAGCTTGTCTATAGAAAAAGATTTGTTTTTCCCTACAATACAGAAAGTAATGCCACATGTCAGCAACATTTGACATCAAAGCTCAATGTGGAAACAGTCATAAACCCACCTACCATGTTTTTTTTCTTATATACACATGGTACATAAAGAAGTGTGAAAAATGACTAAGAAATTGAATTCAGAACATCTTTGATTGTTATTTTTAATATAAAAATTATCCACACACTGAGCTGAAACTGTAATCATCGTGGTTTTATTTACGTTGATGTTGAACTGATCATGTCTTGCAAACCTAAACTCCAGTATGATAACTGATTTTAACTGATTAGAAATCACCGGAACCAAAATGCTACAATGCTATACTGCTTTCTTCAGAGAGTTCAAGGACATGAGAATAGTTGGTGCCTCTTCGATGACACGCACAAGCAAGTTATCAATGTACTGCTCCAGTTCAGATATCTTTTTGTCTCTCTCCGAGAGCTGGTTCTCCTGTTTTAGCATCATTGCGATGAGTTCCTGTCGAGTCAGCAGAGAGTACGGCCCTTTAAGTGCAGTGTCATTTACCTGGAAGCGAGCATTAAGCAGGGAGACTGTGTTAGGTTTAGATTCAAATGTTGGTGCTTTTGAATGTATCAGATAAACAAACTGGATACTTTCTGGTTAATTAATGTTATTATAAAAACAGCAAGAACTATTAAATCAGAACACAATTTTTGATCAAAAGAAAGATAGACCTTTGTTTTCTCTTGAACTTCACAAATCATTACTGTAGCTTTGTGCTCTTCTTCTGTGTTAACAGAGGCAGACTGCTGTTCCAAAGCATTTAGGGGTTTCACGGTTGAAGCCTGCAATGACAAAAAAAAGAAAAGAAAGGTTTAGAAACTGGATGGATGGGAGAGATATTCCAGCAATGTTTCAGTTCAAAGGCAAATCTGGTTAGAAATGAAAAGTCAAACAGAATACTCTAGTTTGTATAACCCCTGCAAGCTCAAAGATTTATGAATTTAAATGAAAGATAAAGTATAAATAATAGAAAAACTTCTACATTAGACATGTGTAGCGCAATGAGCCTTTCTCTTACCATGCAAGAAGCTAGCAATGTGTGATCTATAAAATATGAAGTTTCATTGACTGACATTCAGATTCTGTTGAGGAACTAAACTGTCTCACCTGCGTCGAGCTGTAGGAGGCGCCTCCTTCTTCCCAACCGACTCCTCTGCAGCAGTCTGCACTGTTTCATGCTGGGATTCCTGCAGTGTTGTCTCCGCCAATAAAGCACTTTTGCTCCCCGAGTTTGTGTCTTGGGCTTCACTGATATCTGGTACTTTCCTGCCTGTATCATCTGTAACAAGGACTCCTTCTGTGCTTTGGTCAATTAAAGTGCTTGATGCTTTTGTTGCAGGAAGTTGGGGGGCACGGACTATCTTTGAGGATTTGATTTTCATTTGAGCGGCGGTGTCTCCATCAGCAGCTTGTGTGACAGGTGGAGGCCACTGTATTGAACCAGAATTACCTGTCACGGTTGTATCATTTTGGCTTGTGAGCTCATTTTCATCTTCATCATCCTCAAATGGATTTAAGCTGTAAACAACCGGCTCTTGTTTTGTCTTTGAAATGTTGCCATCACAAGACTGAGACTGTTTCAGTTCAGATTCCAATGAACCAGGTCTTAGTGGTGCAAGACGTTTTCCAGTCTTTGCCTGATCTGTTGTTCCCTTGGTGGAACCATTTTGTGTCGAGCTTAGAGAGTTATTTGTACTTGTGGCAGAGCTTCTCACAGGGGTAATCTTTTTCCCAGAGCGCATAGGAATAAGGCTGGTGGTTTTGGCGTCTTTGTCTTTACTTTGCTTCTTTATTTCTACTCTGTCCTGCTCCTTCCGAGTGTGTCTGTCAGCTTGAAGCCTTCCTGGAGGCTGAGGAGCCGCTCGCTTCTCCTGCTGGGAACCAATACGATCCTTCTCGTTTGTGGAAGTGGAAGATTGGCACCTGGAAATGAGACAGAGATGACATGATGCTGAAGTTTATTTAAGGATTTGTTAAAGAGAGTTTCATAGTGAAACAAAAAAAACTATTTTGTGAGAAAGTACAGTCAGATAGAAGAAAATTTGTGTGTTGTAAAATTAAAGAAACAACCAACGACAATAGTACAAGGAAAAGGCAGTGTTATGTTTAGTGAGACTGAAATGACAACCAAACACTTCTATTGTGTCCTACAAATCTGATCAGAGAGCTCCGTGAAACACCGTCCACCTTCACTGTCACTCAGAATCATTACTAATACGTCATTTTCGCTTCCCATTAATAATGACACCTGATATAATGAGCTACGACTGTGCAATGATCCCCCAACCTCGGCTGACAAACTAAACTTCTCATTACTAACACACACACACGCATGTGCCTGCACACTCACACCAACTGTAACACAAACTGAAGTACAGGCACAGCGCAATGAAATTTTGATGATGGTGTCAGCTTCAGGTTTCATTTAAAAGTCAAAGTGCTAGCGGGAACTGTTCTTTAGTGTGAAGTGACTGAAAAGAAGACGTTAAACTGCATTCAGATAAAACTTAATGTGCATGTTAATGCCTCTGATTTGATTTGTGTCAGGCATCAAATTTAGTGTCACTACCTCCTTTGTTTGTTCCGTGTCTGTTTTGATTATGATACTGATATAAACAGCAGGTTACTTGAATGAATCTGCTTTAACCACGTCGCAATGTGCAACACTTACATGACGGTAATGTTGGTCTGTGCACCACTTTGTTCCTAACAGTACCTCAGAGTGTTTGATAAATTGGTAGGGATTTTGAGATTTATGACATCAAGATTCTTCATAAAGATTACAAGTCCAATTCGAAGATTACTCCTAAAGACTTATAGTCGACGATTATGTAATGGTACTCCTGGCCTTCATCTGGTTCGACCATCAGGTTAATATTTGTGGTTGTGAATGAAAGGTCTCAACAATGGACTTCAGCGGACTTTTAAGAAATTGACTTGTTGCCCTAATGGACCATTGTGTAAGTTTGATTTATTTATCCATCCATCCATCTATCTATCTGGGGGATGGGGGGTTCAGCATAAATGTTGTACGAGGTGCGCACATTGCAAACATTTCTATTGGATTGATTATTATGATCAGATACTGATCAGCTGAGGTATAAGGTAGGGCTGGGATTGAGCCCTGGTTCCTTTAGTAAATGAAGAAACGTGTGTTCATTCTTAACCTTGTTCGATACAAAACACATATTTGTCAAAGTAAAGAGTGGCTATTAAAGAACCAGAAACAACATCTCCAACCCTTATGATGGGAAAGAGTCAGAGAGGTTCGGTTGATAGAGGATTATTACTGACTAAGAGTCTTAACAGTTGTATCTCACCTGTTTGGTTCAGCAGGTGAGCTTGCACTCTCCTCAAGTGGATTGTCGGAATACGTTTCATCAAATGGATTTGAAGAAGAGACTTCTGCAGGGATGTCAAATTCTACTCTTCTCCCTGCAGCTTTGTTTTTTAATCTGTTCTCCTTCTTCTTCTGTTCTTCTGCATCTTGTGTTAAGATCTCTTTCTCCAATCTCCTGGCCTCCTCTTCAGCTTTTTCCTTCTTCCTTACCCTCTCCTCTTCTTGCATTTTCTCCTCTTCTAGTCTCTTCATTTCTTCCTTTTCCATCCTTGCCCTCTCCTCTTCCTCCTTTCTCCTCTCTTCCTCAATTCTCACATTTTTCTCCTCTTCCTCAATTCTTCTATTCTCTTCTTCCTCTTGTCTTGCTTTTTCTTCCACCAATCTCTCATACTCTTCCTTTTCCATCCTGGCCTTCTCCTCTTCCTCTTTTCTCCTCTCCTCCTCCTTCCTAATCCTCTCCTCTTCCTCTCTTTGCCTTTTTTCTTCTTCCTCAATTCTCTTCCTTTCTTGCTCTTCTAGTTTCCTCTGTTCCTCTAACTTCTTGTGCTCTTTTTCCAGCTTTGTCCTTTCTTCTTCCTCCATTCTCCTTTTCTCTTGTAGTTCAAATCTTTTCCTTTCTTCCTCTTCAAGTTTGATCTTTTCATTCACCAATCTGTCATTTCTTCCTTTTCCTTCCTCGACTTCTCCTCTTTATCAATCCTTTCCTTCTCCCGTTGTCTTATTTCCTGTTCCTCTAGCTTCCTCTGTTTCTCTTCTTCTTGTCTTATCATCTCCTCTTTCTCTCTTCTCCTCTCTTCCTGGATCCTTTCCTCCTCTATTCTTATTCTCGCCTCTTCCTGCTTTCTAACACTTTCTTCTTCTTCA